TCCAGAGCAGCCCTGCTGTCAGATGGCAGCCCCCTATTGCTCATTTGATGGAGGGAAGGAACTGCACTTCTTAACAAACATACATTTGCCCTTTATAAAATGTCCAGATCTGAGAAAATGTACCCTTTCCTAATTCCCTCAACTAGAATAAAATGTAGAAAATGTTTTGTTAGCGGTATTCTGGATAACTAACTGGTGCCAATTTAGATGACTGTGCTTTGCTTCCCCAGACAGAATGGTCAGAGTCCATTGCTTTTGGGCCAAGGGTTCAGAGACCTCGCTGCAGTCACTGCCCAGAAGTGCTCCTGCCCAATGGGGGTCCCCCCACCCCCACCCAATCCCCACCCCTTGGAGGCACCATTTCATTGTCAAGGTATAAAAACACAATGCCACAACCCCTTTCTATTAAAAAAATCTAAAAGGCCACTCCACCAAAAAAATAAATACCCCTAGCAATTAGCCAAATAGATTACCACCCAATATTTTCCTTTAACCAAACAGCTATCTCATAACACTGAAGAGATTAAAAGTTAAAAAAAAAAAACTTCAATAAAACTCATTTCAGGAAATAAATAAACTCATTTCAGGAGTCTAGCTTGCATATTTCCATTGCTCTGGTGCCTTTGTGCTGGTGTCTGGAATTGGCAAAGGATTATGGCATTGGCTGCCTTCCCAAAGAGAGCCCTGCAGTAGGGCTCTTCACAGAGGCCCCAGGGGTTGGGTGTTTGCATTTAAGGGCTATAAACTCCCCATGGTGGCAACATTTTAACTTAACATCCTGCATTCACATGAGGGGAGAAAAGTAAGGACCATGGTAGCCAAAAGAGTTATGCATTGGACTTGCTAACTGAAGACCAGCAGTTAAAAACCACCAACTGTCTGCAGGAGAAAATGAAGGCGTTCTACTCCTATAAAGAGTTACGGTCTCACTGGGCCTCTACGCAAGGCCTCCCTCAACACAAGAACACTTTGTTCTGATAACCTGGCACTTACTGATACTCACCTTCCTGACACCATCACTGAAAACAAAATGGTGCATAAGTCAATGTGGTGAGGAGAGCGGATGGTGCCCAGCTATCAAAAGATACAGCATCTGGGGTCTTCAAGGCTTGAAGTTAAACAAGCAGCCATTTAGCAGGAAAGTAAGTAAGCCCAAATGGGAGAAGCACACCAGCCTCTGGGATCATGAGGTGCGACAGGACAGGATCGGGTATCAAAAGATACAAAACAAACAACTTTATTAATGTGAACAGGGGGGTTGGAGTAGAGACCCAAAGCCCATCTGTAGACAAATGGATATCTCCCCACAGAAGTATTATAAGGGATGATTCAACCATGTTGCAGCATAGCACCAATGAATCACACATCATTCATCTAGTTCCTAAATACGTCCTGCCCCCCACGACCATGATCCAGTTCTACTTTACAAATTTGGCTAGACCAGAGAATCCACATTGGTACGGATAAAAGCTCTCAACACGTGGAATTCAGGAGAGAGAAGCCTCAGGAACAGTAGTGAGAGTAGCGATATCCTGGGGGTACGGGAATGGTTAGGGAGAGGAAGGATGATTAAAAAGGAACCCTTCACAAGACTGGATATATAGCACACACACACCCCCACAAAGGGGACGAATAACAGTAATGTGGGTGAAGGGAGACAACGGACGATGAAAGATACAAAATAACAACAATATTAGTGAATCAAGGATTTTCACTAGGGTGGGAGAGTCCAGGAGGGGGGAGAGTGGAGCTTATAACTAGGGCCCAAGTAGAAAATATTTTGGAAATGATGGTGGCAACATACGTACAAATATGCTTGATACAATTGATATATAGATTGTTATAAGAGCGGTTAAGAGCTCCCAATAAAATTATTTAAAAGGAAAAAAACTATCGTCTCAGTAACGCACAGGGGGCAGGTCTACTCCATCCTGCAGGGTGCAGGGAGTCAGAGTCAACCCGGGAGCAGTGACTGTGGTTTGCTACATTTAATTAAAATGAGGAGAAGGGCCTGTTCTTTCCCTGCGAAAGCAAACACAAAGCACAGAAACTAAAATTCTATTGCAACAGAACAGTATAGTTTTCTTTCCTGTACCAAAGATGCATCCTACAGGGATTAAGAAAAAAATATTTTGAGCTCACCTTTTTTTTGCAGGTGTTAAACATTTTTAAAACACAATAAAATTTAACTTAGGAACAGTCTCATCATACAGCTTTCTCTTACGCTTTGTCTGTAATGAGGTTACTGAATTCTAGGAACTAACAATCTGAACAGAACTGATTACTCAAGTCCCCTGTAGGGTCCTGTTGGTGCAGGGGTTTATATCTTGGGCTTCTAGCTGCGAGGTCAGCAGTTTGAAACCATCAGCAGATCAGAGGGGAAAAGACGAGACTTTCTGCTCTAATAAAGATTTGCAAGCCTTGGAAACCCACAGGGGCAGTTCTACCCTGTCCTACTGGCCGCTGTGAGTCAGAACGGGCCTTATGGCAGTGGTGGTCGGCAACACTCCAAACAAAGAACATGCGTCCTCCAGCAGCAAGGTAAGATATTCTGAATGCAAAAGTTAAGCAGCATAAGATAAATTTCAACCAAAAGTGATACAAAGTGATACATAAGTTCAACACCAAGACCCAACGGGAAATAACCATACAGGAAAGATGTCTGAGGCGATGTGCCAGTCAGCTCAAAGAGCTCAAGGATTCCATTCCTGTAGCCAACAGAAGCAGCAGAGGAGCAGCTTGGTTACAAAGGGCAAAATAGACTGTGGAGGTGTGTTTGTTGTTGCAGGACAGAAAAAAAATGCTGCTTTCTCTAAGGTCACCCAGAAGTCTGTATTCTGTCCACAGGGTGTAGTAGCTACAGAGGTAACAAATCAGTTGTAATTATTGACATTACTGACATGTATCCTCAGGGATATTAATGCTATCAGTTGGTACAACCACTATCCCTATCTGTTCCCAAGGTTTTCCAAGATAAATAACGCTATTTAAGTGAAAAAGCAACTCAACACATGCTGCAGAGCTAGCAATGGGCCCACGGTCCAAAGGCGCTGCTCGGAGCCTTCGCAGGCATGCAGAGGAAGCAAAGACAGCACACTCAACAGCAATCACACGTGCTGTGCCCCTAGGTGGCGGAAAGGTTTGCAATCAACTAGTAGCATAAAAGGTGGCAGTTCAACCCACCCAGCATCCCCTCGGAAGAAAGGTCTGGCTGGCTTCAGTGGATTACAGCGAAGAAAACCCCATGGAGCTGTTCTAGTCTTCTAACACCTGGGGTCAATCACCCTGAGTAGCCTCTGCTCCGGGAAACAGGTAAGGCTTTCTGCTCCCGTATAGAGTTACAGTCTCGGAAACCACAGGGGCAGCCTGTTGCTGCCATGAGTTGAAACTGACTTGATGGCAGTGATTTTCTTAAAGATCTACTGTTACAAGATAGGATCATCGCATCTGTTAGCGTGCTGATTCACACTCATCAACCTCTTAAAATCAAATGGGACAGGATCATTTTAATAAACATTCTCAGACTCTCTAATGATGGATCTTTTGATGACTATCTGAAAACAATTGAATACCCTCTCGCAGTGATCCTATAATTCTTCTAAGGCCCTTTATGATTTTATAGAACAAATCAATATAGTAAGGTACACTGACCTAATGACGTTCAAAATCAAACAAAAATCACACAAGGCAGCTCCAAAATGTTCATTTTAAACTCTGCGTGCACTTTTTGAAGTCCCCACCACCACCACCACACAGGTATAGTAACAACACAGGAAGGGCCAAGACCACAGTCAGGACAGGCGTTCCAACAAGCAGCGAGAACAGACTGACCGGAGGAAGGACTCCCTACACCGGGCTCTGGCACAGCTCTGCTCTCATCAAACAGCCACTGGTACCGGAGCTGTTTCATGCCAACCCGTAAAACTGCCACTGATCTTAAACTCTCTTCATGATTCACAATCCAAGTGCATTAATTAAAACTCAAAACCTTGGGGTGGGGGATGTGTGTGAGAGGTGCAGATAAGGAGGAAATCTGAAAGTGATGGTTTTCTTGTGTCTTTAAAGACTAAGTCAGTACCGCCTGGTCGTGCACAGTGAAGAGGAAGCCCGTTGACTCCAGGAGGCCCTGCCAGCTCAAGGCATGAATGATTTTGCCTTGCTTTGCAATCACTCCCACATTCCCCGGGGAGAAACTAATGGATTACTAAAAATAAGATGGAGATTAAGTGAATCACTTGGGTTGTTTTGGCTCCCAACTCGACCTGGCTGAAACAAAAAGGAAATAGATTGGCTGGAATACTCGGACACCAGAGAAGGGGCAGACGGTGGGGCTGGCTTCCCTGTGATTCTGGACTCTGCCCTCCGCCTGGCGTGGCTTCTTGCTCACCAGGGAACCAGACCTCACACTGTCGAGTGAACACATCCAGAGGAAGAAACCAGTGCTTCCTGTAGTTCTTTTAAGTGAGAAAAGACTTCTGCCAGGAGCTCCAGAAATCTCTGCTCTGGAACATCTGCCATCAACTGGATTGGGATTATACGACCATCTCTGACAATAGCCGTCCCTCCGGACAGGAGGCACCCAGGAGAGTCAGGGGTGGAACGGCTCCCAAGGAGAGCCTAGTGAGAGCAGGCCCAGCTCGTCAGCACCCTGGTCTCAGTGGGGTGGTGGGATGGAATAGACAATGTGACTTCTCCGTTCCTACGAGGCTCAGACAAAACTCTTGCCACTAGGATTCCAGTTTATCTATAGGGGCTTCAAAACATTCGTGGGAAATGGAACTGAAAGATGATGGAAAGTCCCCACAAACTCTCTGGTTGCCCCCTCAGCCATTTATCAGAAACTGAAAAATAAAATTATTGTGATACATAAGGTATGTACCCAAAAGACAGACGACCAAATTAATTGGCTTCTTCTGGGAAAAGGAGAGTGAAAATTGTTTGTTTCTGTGTCTCCAGTGTTCCGCACGAATAAGGAGACAGAAGGACAGGGCAGTACTTACTGTATTTCGGAGCCATGACCACAGAAATTTAGACAGCAGCACCCACTTCAGCCATGCACATAGAACCTGAAAAAGAGCAATGGGGATAAAACATTTTAAATAAACAAGAGCTTTCACTACATAGTTTTGTAACTTTTTCTTTCTAAAACTGGCAAATTAGATTCTTTAAAGTAAACAGTTGTGCTTAAACTAGAAATAAGAGAAAATATAGTATTAGTGAGCCGTTAAATATTTTCAGGGTAAGAGCATCTTGTGTTGATCTGACAACCAAAAACCAAAACAAGCAACAGCAAAACATGGTTTGAAACCAGCAACGCTGCTCTGAGCTGCTATTCTGATAAACATAAACAAAGTCAAACAAAAGGAACACAAACAATACAATTAATAATGAACATCAGGAAATCAGATAGTTTATCTCCTACAACACACACCTACTCAATTTGACACATTGTAAAGCTCCAAAATTGGCTTCCATTTCTAGAGTCCTGAACTAAGCCCAAGGATCTGAGTACATATAGTTCTCAGCAGAAAATGAGCACCTATCCGGTTCCAATATTTGACACTGTGTTTTACTAGATAAAAATCTTTGAGCATTCCACATATTATCGAGAGTTGAACAGACCCTTAGACCTAGAGACACTCAAAGACCTTACATTTGCTCTTAATATTAATAAGTGAGAGAACTTTGTCCTTATCCAAACCCCAGGACAAATAATAATGCAAAAAAATCACTGCTCAATAAAGAGGGGCTGCAAGGGAAAAATACAACTTCACCAACAACCCGGGGCATTTCCTGGGTTGAGGTTGCTAAAGAAGCTGCAAACACCATGCTTCATCCCACGTTCCTCCGTGTGCGATGCACACAAGTTGCTGTATCCACTGTGGCTCATTAACAAGCAAGCAAGTAATCTACTACTCCCAGGATGAAAGGGCAAGCCGCAGCCTGCAAGAAGATACTTCTATGCTCACAGGACTCCTTCCGCCCTTCAGAACCAGCAAGAAAACCCTAAGGAAAGTGCCGCCCAAACTAGTTTATCAAACTGGCCCCAAAAGAATGGAAAGGTGCCCAACATCATTCATGAATGTGGAAAAGCGAGTAAAAATGACAATGAGACAAAACCATACACTGATCAAAAAAGGGTAAGATTATGAAGTCTGATCATATCAAGTTCTGGCCAGGATGTGGAGCAATTCCACTCTGGTACACTGGAAACGCACTGCCGTCAAGTCAATGCCGACTCTGAGTGGCCCTACAGGACAGGGGAGCCAGCACTGCCCCAGGGCTTTCTGAGAAGGTAAACCTCCACAGGCGCAGCCAGCCTCATCTTCCTCCCAAGGAGCGGTTGGTGGTCTCAAACTGAAGGTCTCCCAGTCAGCAGCCCGATACATAACCCACTACGTCACACTGCTGACAGGAGGGTGAGCTGAAAACTGCCTGCTTTGTCTGAAAGCAAGCTGACCACGGACGACTCATTGGCGGAGGGGAGCAGTACACTGCTTTTTTTGATCAAGGGCCAGAGAGTACTTCTTTTATGTTACACGGACTATGCGGTTCCTGTTGCAATGAGTCGACTCTGACTTGGTGATGCCAGAGCAGCCTCAGGCGACATGCAAAACGAAAAGAAGAGTCGGCTGTGTTGCAATTAAAAGTTTATTTACAAAAACAAGCAGCCAGCCGCCTAGTGCGGGGCAGTGCGTATAGATGAAGCACAAGGAAAGCAGTAACCTGGGCAGAGCTTACAAACATATTGTTGAGACCAACAAAGCAGACCTATTTTTAAACGGACTCCAGCTTTGTTTTGTTTTTAAATAAATCATTTATTGGGGGCTCTTTCAGCTCTTATAACACTCCCTACATCAACTGTATCAAACACATCTGTACAGAATGTTGCCATCATCATTTTTAAAGCGTTTTCTTTCTACTCGAGCCCTTGGAATCAGCTCCTCTTTTTGTCCTCCCTCCCCGACTCCAATTTTTAAAGTTCAAATGGAGGTAGGAATATGTAAATCAGGAGAGTCTTGATCTCTGTGTGGAGTGAAGAGCGGGTGGAGAATGGGCAGAATGCTGAGGGAACAATAACTTCGATTCCCCGTTTGAGTGGTGGCTTTAGAAGTGTGTTCAGTTTGGGGAAATCCATGAAGTTGTCTACTTACAGTGTGTGCTTCTGGTTTTAAAACATGTTGTACTTGAATACAAATGTAAAATGTTAAAATTTTTATAAGGACTACAGGCCACCTCACTGAACGGATGGCTCTGAAACTGGGCATCAGATGCTCTGAGACGGGGGTGCTGGCACTGTGACCCAAAGTTCCCTCGAGTTTCAGCACGTTGAAGAATGAGCTCCGATTTATGCAAACCAAAACGGAAAGCCGACAGATGCGTGCACTCAAAGCGCAGTGGAAAGAAACCCTCGCATTTTAACACAATCTGCCAGATAATCGAGACAGAACAGAAAGTAAGGTAAGCGGCTTAGAAGGTCACTGACCCTGCCTTCTGGACCAAAAAAATGGCATTCTGGAAGCTTCCTAGGGCTCTTTAAAGACTGGGGAAGTCCATGCAGGATCACAAGGACCCCCTGTGCCTAGGGGGCGCTCGGAAAGCAGGCAGGAACAGGGAAGGACCAATGCGCAACATGAACACAAGGGCGCGTGGGCAGAGGGCCGTTTTAGTGTAGGGCTCGCCATCAGTCACGGAGCAAAGGTATGAGGTGTAGAACGGAAAACCAACCTGCTTGGGAAAACGTCAGCCAGGTCACAATAAAAACAACAGACTGTTGGAAGGCGGTATGTTGAAGGAGTGACTTCTTACCACGTAGCACAGAAAGCGGGTGGGAAAGAGAACTGAGGTCTCACACCTGGCAGGCTATGGATGTAGTCTGACCTTCTAAACCTGCGTGCTCTGTGCTTCAGTTTCATCTTGGAAATCTAGGGGAGGTTAAAATGTGGAAATTCCCAGTGGCCACAGGAAGCCATCAAGTTATATCAAGTTAGAGGCGGGGATTGTGAAAATGCCAGCGATACCAAGACCATGGCATCACGTTCTAAGGATTCATGGTCCGTTGGCATGAGAAAAATGGAGAAGGGAACTCAGAAACGACTTGAGTAGAAAGCCCGGAAGCTCGGTCTGTGCTATATGAGTGATGTATGCAAGACCCTAAAATAGCCGACGCATAAAGAAGAGCAGTCGCAGAACAGAAGAGCTGACAGGCCTACATACACACCAATACCTGAAACTGAACATCCTAAAAGCTGCAATTTCCAGACAAGTGCTGCTGGAGATAGGAAGTAACCGGACGGAAAGACTCGGCGTGGTGGGAGATGAAATGAGCGTGCAGTGGGGAAGGATATGCTAACATAGAAGGAAAAGTTAAACGCAGCTTTGACCATGTAGCGACGAGCGCTTTGGAAACCAGGACTGTGACTGCAGTCTATTGTATTGGGCTTATATCAGACGTATCCCGATAAACTCGTGGCTTTCAACATACCTTTTAGAGAGACAGGTGGATGAAGAGCTCTGTCACTGAGTCAGAACACATGAAACCCAGGGGTGATGAATACCCCTTGTGCTCAGGTACGAATTTCCGCTACTGTACTCCAATATGAAGAAAGACTATTTAAAGAAATGGCTGGGCACGAAGCTGAGATAGCAAAGTATCAGATGAGTGTGAACTATCTTGGGATGTCAACAAGCAATAAAATACTCAAGAAATGATGGAGACTTGGCAAAAAGACAAGGGATTCACCGCAGAGGCTATCCAAAGGCCACCAAGCGCAAAAAAAGATGTTCTGTGCCATTAACCGCGAGAGACTGCTGACTCCCAATAGGATGACCAACACTTTAAAAAATTAAACAACACATTCATTATATAGGTAAGGATGTGTGAAAATTGGAATCTTTGCCCACTGCTGGTGAAAATGCACAATGGTGTAGCCATAGAGCAGTGGTTCTCCACCTTCCTCATGTCTTGACCCTTCCACACGGTTCCTCATGTTGTGGTGATCCCAACCATAAAATTATTTCTGTTGCTACTTCATTACTGTCATTGTGCTACTGTTATGAATCTGCATGTAAAAATATCTGATATGCAGGATGTGTTTTCATTGTTACAGATTGATAA